TCCACAGTCATTTACACCATCACAATGAGCAGAATGCTGCACACATTTACCGCTTTGACAGAAGAAAGATCCTGAAATAATTCTGGTGCTAATCATACACCATCGGGATCGAACAGAAGACAGAACATTATTCACAGGAGGTTCCAAGTCAGAAAAATTTGGATTGAAAGTAGTTAAACGTGAGAAGCAGAAAGAAATTAAGGCTGAAGATTAACAGAACAGAAACTTTGTTACAGACCAAAATCCATCAAAACTAGTTAGACTGTCCAGATTACCCACTAATACTCACGAGGCCAACCAATTTTCAGTAAAAAAGCAACATTTCTTGCCCATTGTGTTTTGTTTCCCCGTGTGGTGGCAACCACATGCTTCACGCAACTCATCTACCGATTATGTACGTGGTCAAGAGACGACACTTCCGGCATCTTTCGTGTCACCGCTTTCTCCACAGCTACCGCTTTTAATTTTGCTAGCGATTGCTCGCCACAACTATACGGCTCCTGTTGGTGCATGGTGCCTTAGGTTCTGCTGTACATTCGGATGCCAGTGATACTGTGAAGCGGCAACGGAAGATATTTCGAAAACCGAGAGATAGGGAGATTTGTCGCTCAGCGTAATACGTAAGCTTCCCTTGTTTAAAACTGAGGAGAGGATAGACATGGAGGGGCCGTAGCTTGTGGAGTGCTCTTGTCTCCTCTCCATAAAAATGCTTACATAATTAGTCTCCTAGCTTCAAACTATCGTCTAAAAAATGCCATAAATCACCACAGACAAATTTATTCCTGCCTCCTTTCCATTTATTTCGTACCTCCTCCTACTTGGTCGACCCTGAGGAAGGGGAGGCGCTGAAGCGAAATCCAGATCTGCATGAAGCTGATAACGACGAGAGCCGAACCTGTATGTGGATTCGCATAGGCTTACTCTCACAGCCCTCGTGGTATTCAACAACTGTGCCTATGCGTTTTCATTACTTCCCTCCTTTTATTTCAATTAAACTATTTTTACTTTTTCGCCGCGCAACTTTTTTTTTAGCGGCAAAATCATCCCATCGACCACCAAATTTCGCTTCAGCCTACCGCAAAAGCTAATTTAATAATTAGCAGTAGATAT